ACTAAATTTTAACTACGGCTTAGATGATAACTTTCGGATTGTCTTTTTATTAGCTAAATTATTCGTGGTTAAAGCTGTTAAAAAATGTTTTATTTGCGTGCACTATAACTTTAGATCCAATTTAAATTTTAACTGAAACTAATGTAATACGTAATATTTATCTACAATTAGTAAGTGAATAATTGACGGCCTCTATAGCTACTGTGTGTCGCCTGCCTTGTTGTCCTGAGTTCGAATCCCGGAGGCGAAATAGATTGTTTTGGTCAAACAGGGCACAGAAATCTGATCAACCACTTGCCTGTAAATAAAACCGACCAGTGAAACGGACTCAGAGCTCGCCCCATGCCCCACGTGCCCCAAGTGAATGTGTTTGACATGCAATATAAGTGTCGATATGGTCTTTATTGCACTTAAATAAACTTGATTAGTTAACTATCTAATCTTGCTGTAGTTAAGACTGATAAAAATAAACTGTGTACTTAGATTTTGTAACTACTTATAAAAAATTGATAAATCGAAGACCTTTAACAAAACCAGAATCACTTTCCGCTTACACACCTGCATATTAAACAAATAATTATCATTAAATGGTAGCGAGAATAATAAAAACAAATAAACAATATTAAATTATGCTAAACCAGTGTCGTAAATAACCATCAGCGTATTAAATTAATAATTCAAGAACCAGACCACAAAATACACGAGTTATTGATGAAACTAAACAACTTAATTGGGAATATAAAATTTTATGGGAAATAAAATCTATAAGACCAAGGGCAGTTGATTCGGACCCGATCGCGATTTGTGTTAGCGGAGTTTGGTCTCTATGCTGAGTATGAATAAGGGGTTATTTCGTGTGAAGGTTATGTAGTAATGTATTGGCGGGGCTATCCGCTTTTGCCTTTTCCATCACTGTCAATTAAGTGCAGTGAGACGACGCCATCAATCATAAACATTCTCCTTGCTAGAATATCCATCTCCAGACACCATTGTTTAGATATTTGATTCAGAGTTTTTTCAATAAAACGGAAATAATAAAACGGCGCCGGGCATTTGGGTCAGTTGTGAAAAAAATACATACTTAACATTCTAAAATATTTGCTGTAAGGAGCCCTGTAGCGCTGTTTTTCTATATGACAAAGACGGTAGATAGTAGATAGATCATTTGATGAAAGGACGACCAATTTTGGCCGTGGATATTTAGACACCCTCAAACACGACTAAACTTCACGGCATTTTCATCTTTGGTTTGTAACCCGGACTGAATTTCGATATTCCTACCACCCGTTTATTATCGAGAGGAAATCACGTGGGACTCAGTAGGGATCTAACCTACGGCCCAATAGTCGAAATTTAATGGCAAATATTATTAATACAAAGTATATGATAAATTTTCCTTTTTCTACGCAAAACCTTGTATTACATTAATATTTCAAACATTTAAAAGCATAATAGGTCGATGGCGCATTAAATTAGATGTTACAAATTATTGTACCTTCCACTCTGACTTATCCACCTTCCCCCTAATAAAAAACAAAGTAAATTCGACAGTATTTTTGCATCAAAGGCCAACAAACCTGCCAAATAACTTTAAATAAATAATTTGCTATACATGTGGCAGTGTCTGAGTTTATACATAATTAAAACGGTTTAAAATGTAATTTATATAAGTTAATGAGCTTTAAAAACCCGTAATCAAAAAAGAAAGTGTAACTTTACAATAAAACGTAAAAGGGTTTTATTAAATGTGCCGCTTATACTGTAATGACTAACTATAGACACCAGTTACACACATCAATTGGAAACGGATATATGTATTAATAACAAGTAGCATTTGCAAAGTATCCAGTGTCTAACATTTAAAAAGCAGGTTTGTTTTTTAATTCCACTTCTTAAACCGTTTAAAAGTCATACAAGTTACAAATTCACGTTATTTATCAACATTTTTCTACTTCAAGTAGAAACAAATATAATTTTGACTACGTTAAAAGTCTTAAATATGATGGTAAATGAGAAAAACTGATTTAACGGTTTTAGACGCAAGATATATAAGTTATCTTAATTCCATATATTTTAACTACAGCCCGACGTTTCGCATGCTTTGCGATTTGCGAAGCTAGAGGCTGTTCTTAATTCCAAACTAAAATCTGCTACACTAGCGCCGCCGGTTTCGTTGTGGTTTCACATTTAAACCGTTAAAAGTGTTAAAAAAAATGTGTACTACGTGTATACGACACACTAGGAACTTCATTAATATATTATGTCCTTCTTTTTATTATAAAAGTGACTCGCATCGTAGAAAACATTTGTTTATTTGAACGTGTTAATCTCAGGAACTACTAATCCGAATTGAAAATTTGTTTTTGTGTTAGTTAGGCATTTTATCAAGGAAGGTTTTAGGCTATAAAACATCACGCTGCTAATAAGACTATTAAGATTAATTCACAACCGTTTCCATGGTAACCAAATTTAGACGAAATACTTCATACGGCAAAAGAAGTCAGCTACTCACTTATTTACAACTAAATGTATATAAATAAGGAAATATATAAATAATTACAAGTCCATGTAACCTTAAATTATTGCGGAATTATTCAAAGAGTGACAGGTGTTGTACCCGCACGGTTGACACATGGGTGACGTCACAACAAAGACAAGTGCATGATATCGATCGAATTCGATACACGAACATTTGAGGTTATATTTTTATCATTAATTTGGTATTAATGCAACAATAGCGAAGTTGTTACACCCGTTGCCCATCATTGCCTTGATAACAACAAGTGTGATCTACAACTCGCGTGTAAATAAAATCAAATAATGAAACCGTATAGATATAATGATAATAAAATAATAATTATGTTTACCCCCATAGGTACAGGGGAAAATGGAATTTCACTCAAAATTTTATTTGAAATGTTGAGACTCAAATCTAGACATCAGCGAATTCTTTAAAGCGTAAAAAATTATGTAATTTGTATCTCATTTAGATGAACTTTTATTTTTTTTAAATTACGAAGTACACATATAAAATACAAATGGACTTCTATTAGGTACCATCGTACTAGGTATTTTGAGGTAGAACACTTAACGGCTGCTGCAATCTGAAAAAATCCGAAACGTCGGGCCTTATTTAAAATATATTGTAGTAGTAAACTTACACATTTCGCGTTTTAAACCGTTAGAAATGTTGAAAATTAAAATTCTAAGACTATAACTAAACAAAATAATATTACTCTACTTTCCTAACCAATCACCTCTTTATATATACTGAAATAAAGAGAAAACTTCAAATAATAGAATAATACTCTTAACTACGGTTTACAACTATCTTTGCCGTATAAAACTGTCATCAAGCCCTGAATCGAATTGTGTCATCGCTCGTCGTGCCCCATTTTTGTTTACAGCCGCATTAAAAACGTGCTGTTTCCAAAGTGCGTGCTGCTGCAGGGAAGGAGTATAATACCTGTCACATAAATTTAGGTGATTGATTGACCCGCACCCAACTAATGTTTGTAGGAAGCGATAAACAGCTGGCTATCCGTTTTATATTTCATACGTTTAAATATCGCCAACACTTTAAATAAAACACAACGGTTTAAAACGCGATATATATTTATTAAACCTATTTTAACTATGTCTCCCCGTGACCACAACTCCAAGCATCCGAAGCGTCGGCTCGTAATTGTAATACTTTTCAAATAAGTTTAACTAATATACATCGCGTATTAAACCGTTAAAGTGTTTTTTATGTGTACTACTCGGGTGACTACAGACAGTATTTTATCGGCATCCGATTATAATTATATCTTACTTAATCAATCGCCTCTAAAGTTATTTAGTCTCGTGGCATATTAAACATTCTAACATTAACGTTAACGTTACGTTATGTCACATATTTGTCGTAGAGTTCATCACACTGAAAGTAAAACGTTAAAGTCTAAAGTTAATTAACACTTAGACATTACTATTATAAGTACTATTCTCTCTATAAATTCATGATCTCAATAAATTTACTTAATATCGTCATATTTCTTTGATAGAATGTTATTTGATAGATAAGTAAATAGCTTTTTACTTTTAAACATACTGATAAGTGAGAACATACTTACAAAATTAAACAAAAAGAATTTGTATAATTAGAGTTTTAATAAATTTGTAAGTGAAATTAAACCTAAGATTTAGGTGACATAAATTTATCTATTAGAATAATGTAAAATCTTTATGATGTTAGTATAAATAAGATGCAGAGTCCTAACTAATTAAAAGATCGAGTTAAATGTATACTATGTATATTGAATAGGAGTCTTTCCCATTTCTTATTTCGTCTAATTCGATTCACGTAAGAATCGCCCCGGGCAACTTTATTTTTCATAACGCCAGCGACATTTTCCTTTGTCAGAGCCGGAAATCTGTTCATGATACACGTAAATCCATCCCCTGTCCCACGTCCGTCCTGACGTTGAAAGGTCTCGTCCCTACGTTTTGTTACGCGTCCCCGCCGGCGCCTTTTAATCCGAACGACAATCTAGTAAAGAATCGGACTATAGATGGATGAAAAAGTTTTGATCGGTCGCGAGTCAGCTCCGTCAGGCTGTCAACGGAACGATCGGCCGTCATTGCAAGTCCACCTCGCGCATAGCACGCACGCTTGCATTACGCAGCGCCACCCCCCTATCTCGAGAACGTATACCCGTCTCGCTCGGGCGCTCTGATTCGTCGCTCCGTGCCGCAGCCGTCCCTGTCTCGCGCGCGGGGGGAGGGCGCTGCAGGCGGGTCGTAAATCACGAGGATCTCATTCCACGCGGGACCTCCGCCGTCGCCGCAGGCACCGCGCACTTCCTTCTCGACCGTCGGCCGCGTCTTTCGTGTCGTGTTTACTATTCCAATAGTTCTAAACTCTTGCTGAATTGTAAAGTGTTGTATAGAATTGTGCTTGATGGATCGGAGTACGTTTCGTCGGCTGGTGTTTTGAGAATTTCATAAAAATTACTTCCAACATGATTGTCGAGCCCGACCACGTGAGGTACGTTTATTTAGACAAGTGCAAGTTTTTATTTGATTTATCGATGTATCGACTTCATGCATTAGCTGCTAACGATTTTTAATTTGGTTTGAAGCGGTTTTAACTAATTTCAGAAAGACGCGAGTATTAAGTCTGGTAATTTGATTTGTGGGTAAATAGTGGTTTTGAATTTTTACTATTATTATACTAGTGATATTTGAAGTTTCTCAATATCAGATGTGATGATACAGATTTACGAACTAAATGAATATTGATCAGTAGCACCTGTGATGTGTCGCAGAGGTGGCGTTTTGTTGGCAACATCGGTCATTGGCGAACTTTAACGTCCTAATCTCTCTATTCTCGTTGACAAGATTTATTTTCATTGTTTCGTGTTCTTATATATTTTACACGGAAACTGCTTTTATCTTATTAGATTTAAATTATCTTGTTCAATAAATATATTTTTTGTATTATTACTGATAATTTTCCTTAACCATAACCAAACCGTTATATCCTAAGTATTTTAACTTGTTTCTTCTAACATTATAACGTTTTACACAGTTTTTTTTATTTTTAGTTACTGTGAAAAATCAATGACATAAATAATGAATATTAGTGTAACATTTTAAACAATATTATTGCGTTACTTAGTGAATTCAATGTAACTCGATAACATGTTAATTTTTCCATAAACGCAATATGAAGAATCCATTAAATCGCGAAGACATTATCACCCATAAATATTAAAATAAGCAAAATATTGAAGCGTGTTTATGTTATCTCGTACACAAATACCGACGAACCGGTTTCATTATTACGAATGAAACGCGACTCGGCAATTTAATTGAGGATTTACGACGCGATATTTATTGTTGTCGTTTTATTGTCGACAGGGAGAGTCCGAGGTGTTTGTCGCGCGAGTCGTCGGGTGCGCCGAGATGTCCCTCCAACGACTCGGTGTACTCGGGCCGGAGTGCGCCCAGCCTCCCCCTCCCCGCCGCCCTCTCCGCCGCGCTACCCGCAGCCCTGCCGGCCGCCTTACTGCCTCCGCACTCCGCCGCCGTAGCAGCGTATCTAGGCGCAGCAGCGGCCGCTGCGCAGCAACGCCTTCTCATGTCCTGCCAAGAGGACCTTACAGACGCCGATCGCTCTGACGCCGTGCTGGACTTCAGTACCAAGCGCAGTGAGTCACCGCAAGACGACGAAGACATGGAGTCCGATGATGCAGTCAATCTTAGTAAAAACGAGAACGGCCCTCTGGATTTATCTGTCGGCACTAGAAAGAGAGGCCCAGAGGACTCGCCATCTCCCGTGCCGTCTAGGAAGAGCTCTAGATCTGCAGATTTTAAACCTATCACTACACCGTGGACGACACCGGTCGCTCCACATTTGCCATATTTCGCTGCCGCAGTGGCAGCCGCTAGCTTATCACCTAAGGGTGGCTTACCAAGCGACTGGAATGGAAAACTAAAGCACGGTGCGCCTACGCCGAGCGATGCGACCAAAGCTCTCGAGAAGATGAGCGAACTGAGTAGGTTAGGCGGTGAGGAATTGTTTAGGTCCGTTCAAAGCGCAGCTTTAGGCGCCGGGCTTACACCGAACGCTGCAGCTAGGCATTCAGCTTGGCAGTCACATTGGTTAAACAAAGGAGCCGATCAAACCAAGGACGTCTTGAAATGCGTTTGGTGCAAGAAGAGCTTCAACTCTCTAGCTGATTTGACTGTTCATATGAAAGAAGCTAAACACTGCGGCGTAAATGTACCAGTGCCGCCCACGTCTGGGGCACCGATCCCACCATCTCTGCAACCACCTTCGAGTTCGCCTTCAACCCCATCACACAACTCTTTGTCTTCGAGCGCTTCTTCTAAGGCTAACCACAACGATCTGAATATGCTTATCAAAGAAAATATGCCCATTCCTAGAAAACTAGTCCGCGGCCAAGATGTATGGTTAGGAAAGGGAGCCGAACAGACTAGGCAAATACTTAAATGTATGTGGTGCGCTGAAAGTTTTCGCTCGCTAGCCGAAATGACGAGTCACATGCAACGCACTCAACACTACACAAACATAATATCGCAAGAACAAATTATATCTTGGAAGTCTTCAGACGAAGCTAAAGGTTCCAATTCTAGTACGTCTGGTACTAATAACGCGGTACCTCCCCCTACGGGAACAAGTAGTCATGTCAGCGCAGTTTTAACTTGTAAGGTTTGCGACCAAGCGTTTAGTTCTTTAAAAGAGTTGAGTAATCATATGGTTAAAAATTCTCATTACAAAGAACATATTATGAGATCGATCACCGAGAGCGGAGGTAGGCGGCGTCAAACTCGCGAAAAGCGGAAAAAGTCTTTGCCAGTTAGGAAATTGCTCGAGCTCGAGAGGGCACAACACGAATTTAAGAACGGCGAAGGCAATGGCGTCCCGATGGGAAAGCCCCTACGCGACTTCGGTGCCGGTAGCCGAATTACTTGTGAAAAATGCGGTGATAAAATAGAGACTGCACTATTTGTAGAACATATAAGACAATGCATAGGCGCGCCCATGTCAAATAGCCAAAGGAATTTTTTGAAAAGCGCGCTTCTGTCCAATAACATCATTCCCCCTGATGTTCCCGGTCATATCACTCCCACCGGTCGCGACGGCAGAAAGAGCATAAATGATGAAATCCCATCGCCGGGTTCTGGGCACCACCGGTCTCCTTCGTCTATCACTGACTCTTCTCCCAGTTCCAAAGACCCTAATGCTGGCAATGAGAAAAGCTCGTCTCCATCTGTTCTTAATGCAATAGAACAATTGATTGAAAAGAGCTTTGATACACGTTCACGGCACTCGGTGCCCGGTATCCCCGGGGGTGCCAGCCACGCACCTATAGGTTCAAGCATCTTGAAACGTTTGGGCATTGACGAAAGCGTAGATTATACCAAGCCATTGGTCGATCCTCAAACAATGAACATGCTTAGAAATTATCACCATCAACAAGGGTACGGGCGCCGCGAACGTAGCGGCAGCGAATCTAGCTCAATGTCCGAACGTGGCGGTAGTAGGGTGGAATCTCTCACTCCGGACAGGAAGCTAGACTCATATCACATGACTCCTCGTACGACTCCCGACACGCGAGGCTCTCAGACCCCCGCCTCTGAGGATAGGCAGCCCGAGGTTAGGATTAAGAAAGAGGTCACCGACGAGGACGACTGTGAGAACGGAGTCGATTTGAGCAACCAGCCCGTCAAAGTTAAAACAGAAGTCGAGGACGACGACGACCAAGCTCGGCCAAACAGTTCGGTAGAGGAGGATGTCAAACCTCCTGTTACTAAACGCGAGAGTGAGGGTCCGAGTCCAGTACCCAGCCCTTCTAGTGATCGCTCCGCCCCGACCCCGGGCTCCGACAGAAAGCCAGCTTCGAGCCTCGGTGCTTTATCATCTATGTTCGACAACCTCGCCGGGGGCGCTTCTTCTAATGAGCCCTCTTCTTCCCGCCGAAGCGGTAGTCATCCGTTGGCAGCTTTGCAAAAGCTCTGTGACAAAACCGAGACCAATTCCACTCGAGCGCCACCCCCGGCTCCTTCCCCCGCTGGGCCTCCGAGCATACTGACTTTTAGTTGGGCGTGTAACGACGCCGTTGTGACCGACTCCATCATGAAGTGCGCCTTGTGCGACACCCCGTTCATATCCAAAGGTGCTTACCGACACCACCTCTCGAAGATGCACTTTGTCAAGGACGGTGCGCTGCCAGAACCGGTTCCGATGAAGGCGCCTCCCCCAGCCGCATCCCCGGGTACCCATAAGAGCGGGGGCTCTAACGCGGCCTCGCCCCAGGACCCGCGGAGTCCCTCCCAGTCCTTCGACGAGAGCCCCCACTCGAAGTTTCTTAAGTATACAGAATTAGCGAAACAATTATCTAGCAAGTACGTATAAGGAGCATCAATGTGATGATAGCATATCCCGCATAAACCTGCCTAGGTTTAGACGCTAAGTATTTCAAAACTCTTTGCCAATTTAAAATTATTTAGGTAATCGTTAGAGATCGCCGCGTAGTACGGCTAGTGTAATTAATCTAGCGACATAAGTATACGCCAAACGTCTTACGTTCTAAGTGTAAGAGATATTTTTAAAATATTGCCTTTAGATGAGAGGTTGTTGCGGCCGGTCGGCTTATCTTCCACGGTATACTGTAATTCCATTTCGGTAATTGTAAATATAAGTCACACTAAGTCTTGAAATTTAGATTCGATCTCTTATAAATGTATATTTTTTGCTAATAATCTAAAGGGAACGAAAATCGGTTCGGCTCGTCGCGTTCGCGCTCAGTCAGTATTCAAACGATTTTGTTGCAATATTCATCGTGTTACTTAATTTTTTTATGTAAATCAGAGTTAGAGTTGACATGTTCTAGGTTTCTATGTATATTTTGAAGTTTTTGTTTTCTTTTATTCGATATCCGTTGTAATCTCGGAGATCCAATCTCACGGTTCGGTTCTGTAAAAATACAGCCCGCAGTATGCAATAATCTCCTTAGTGTAAATTCGCTCTAGGTACTCTCGCGAGGTCGCTATTTATTATTTAGATTAAGTAAGTAAAGTTAGGTAACCTACTGTGAACACTTGTATACCAATGTAACAGCGCATTTTACGGTTGTCCGAATAAAAATTATATTAAAAATTATAAAAGTGATAATGTTATTTTCTTCGAGGACAATTACATTCGTATACGTCTAGAACATTCGGTATTGAGAGTATCTTCCAGTTGTAACAGTTATACGATGTATATACGGTCTTGAGTGAAAACTCTTTTATATTTAATAAAGAATATTGTATACTTGTATCGCGTAAGTTTCAGAAAGATAAAATGGCGGAATTCGCGAACGCATTTGAAATAACGTACGCCATCGAGTCATTCTATTTTTGAAAATCTCAAATGCGCCTCGGGACTTCCCCCACATTCGTGAAATATCATTTAAATGTAATTCAAAACGAAATAATGTATACGCTAGCTCTGATGAGAATTGCTCATTCTTAAATCGTGTTGAAATTGATTTTACCAAATTGAATAATCTTATTTAATATTTTATGTTGTATTTCAAAATGCAATTAAAAGCTCAAAGAAATATATATGTTAAATACTTTAATGGTTATTTTATTTATATCGACGCTATCCCTGGACACATTCCTTTAAATATCTAACATAACCCAAATGCACCATAATTACCTAATACATATCAAACTCAAAAATAATGTAGTAACTGAGGTTACATAAACATCAATACAATTTCAATATATGTAATACAAAACACAGTAACATCGTATTCATGTTGTACAATTTATCAACTCAATCACCCTAAAAAAACACTGACAAGTCTGAAAATATTACTATAATAGGCACTTAAATAAAAACACATATTTTACCAAAAAAGTTATTAATAGAACATAATATACATAGGTAATGTAAGTACACCTAGAACTTCTATATTCATTGTTGAGACCATATTAAGTGTGAATAAATTTAACAAGTACATAAGTGATTTCGAGGGGTCAGAAGACAAAGCACGGACTTGTAAGAGTTCTGTCTGAAGCTAAATGTCTGTAAAAGAATCTAAATTGAGCTATTATGTAAATATTGAAATACAGAACAAGGAATTGGCTTAGCATTTTCATATTAGCTTACTTGTTATTATCGCCTAGACTCTAGAGTGTATATGCTTCATATGAATGCCAAAATGTTTTCCAATAATCAATCTAATTGTACGGATAACAATCAACGGCTGAGTTCAATCTCCACGTGGTGCAACATATTACTAATCAATTTATATCTTTTCTGGAAATCTGGATATTAAATGGGGTATAGGAATATCGAAATTCCGTCCGAGTTATGAAACACTATTCACAGATAAAAAACCTGTAAAGTTTAATCGCGTTTCGGTTTCAGTCTGTGGATTTCTGTAAGCCAAAATAGGTCGATAGCGCATCTGGTTTAGATGTTACATGGCTGGGATAAATATCCCAATTTAGGGTTGTCTGTGAAAAAAAAATATAGCTTGAATAATCTTATTGGCCAAAATTACCCAACAAAGGAGCGTTAACCCGTTGACAAATGCGGGGCTATCGTTAACATCAATCCGCTTATTACCCCCACTAAATCATTTATTGTGCGAAATCTGGCTATTTACTCAACGAGAGGTCGAGAGGAGCGATCAGTCAGGCGTCCTTGCCGACGCTTTTGGGGTGAGTGACGGGTTGACTTTCAGCGGCAAAAACTAGGGACAGGAAAAACCTAAAAGAAGTATTTTCTTAATTTTGAAAATATGCATGATATAACTGAGACTCGAACCTACAACGTTATGTAGTGATGATACGCATCACTACATAACGGTGAAGCTGTCGTGTGTATTATCTTGTGAATTTGATATATGATCTGTAGTGTTCATATACCACTGAAATGTATGAGGCTTCTAGAGGCAAAGTGGCCTAATAACAAAAACAACTCAATAAGGGGAAAAATTAAAATGCGCAATTAACTTAGCAAATAACTAACTAGCGAAAATGAATTTGTACTATTATTTGTGTAAGAATTATTTTAACAATATTCGGTCACTCTACTCTTGTAGATTAACATTTTTAGGCTATGAAAATATAAATAAAATCAAGTCATAAAATTCTAATACCTACAAATAAGCGTGGCAAGCGCAATTGTCAAGTGCCTTAGCGTTATTAGTGAAAAAAAAATATTTTGGTCGGGACCTACCCAACGTTTTCTTAATACTTCCAAACAGAAATATGACTGCCCATCTATATAATTTCGCAATGCACAGACATACCTTTGTCCGTTACACTTATATAAGAAGGTAAAACATTAAAATAACAGTAAACACATATAAAATATGAGTGACAACGATGTTTATGTTGGACGTGTTAAAAGTTGAACAGTCAATGTGGGTGTAATATATTGATAGTGATTATTCTTATCTACTCTATTACAGGGCTGGATTTGACACGTTTTTAACATTATATTATGTAATAAAAGATATAACTTATTTAATTTTGGACGGAATATTCTTAGGTGGTGAAACTAAAGACCTTGAAACTCGATGATTATAAAAAAAGAAGTAAAATTTGTGTTTAAGTTAGTATAGAGGCACAATACAAGAAAAATGCCAACAATTACGACTTTATTGGTACCACATTTTAAGTGATCTTATAATTTACCGCCTCTGTATCCAAATGGTTAAACGTATTGCCTAGCATAGAGTTAAGCGCGAGAGGATCTGGGTTCGAATCCGAGGGAAACATAAATTCGGTCGAGCAGGGCGCAGAAGTCTGATCAATTACTTGCCCGTTACAAGAATGGATCAGTGAAACGGAACAAAGAAATGTGTTCGCCACAGGCACTTTTAAAATTTAAGGTTTCCAAGTTGGGCAAAGGTACAAGAACATATCTAATTACCCCATAGAACCCAGCCATATAATTTTTTTTTAGATGCGCGACCTACTTTGACTTCAGAGATTCAGAAATCCATATTTTAAGTTCGAAACGCGATTAAACTTCGTCTTTTTCTTTAGTGGAAGCTTCGTGACCCACAACAAGAATATTGTCATAAAATCTATAGTACATATATAATGTATAATATAACAAATCATAATTATATTTTATTCTACGTGTACTTTAAATATTCTGTGATTTATTGTAGTAAAAATATCCACTATCAGGTAATTTCGTCTTCACAGATTAAAATAACAGTCATAGTCAATCAGTTAACCGTTCGAGTGCGGCAGCAAAAGCTTCGCGATCACCGCGCCATCTGTCCACTTTGATGGATGAAACATGTGTTAGCGCCCGCAGTACCACGACAAAGCGCAAAAAATTGAAACTGACACGGTCATTAATCAAATTATATGCGATTTTGTGCAGCCTGTGATTCTGCGCTTTTGTTGAAATCTGAATAAGGAAATGTTAATGTTTGTCGATGGTAAGCGATTTTATTTATCTAGTGTTCTTACAAAAAGAGACGTAAGTATATACAAGACTTTTATAAGATGGAAATAATTGCGTATAACATCAAAGACGTACATTCTAATTTCTTAAAATATACCATGGTAGATTATACAAAGTTTGTGTAAATCAAAAATATGAATATAAAAGTTGCAACAATGAATACGAAAAGAATTATCCCCAATAACAGTTCCATCTCAAAATTGAGTACACTACACAATTTTGAATTGACTTTGTACTTATAATACATATTTAAACCGTTAATTACATGTTAAAGAGTATCGGAAACAAGATTGATCAGCTTTCATTTTGTAATCTATTGACTACTGTGATATGATTAACAATAGTTGAGACTCTTCCAAGACAAGACGAATATCACATGTTAGATGTTATATTTAGGCCAAATACCTGCTACTTTACGCAGATGCGTTTATGGCTATGTATACGCTCTTTTTAAAGACGATTTTGGCCCCGGATATAATTTTAACATTTCTAAGCTTAGAAATATCGAATTAATTTGCAGATAAGCTGGGACCGGTGGATCGATCACGCCCATTAGTATGACGATGATTCATTCTGTGAAATAAATGGTACAAAAGTGTGCTTCGCCCGTAGTTGACGATGACGGATGAAAGATGGACGTGCTTCCGCGGGCCGCTTAGACCCGCTCCAGATGTATTCGCGTCGATCAATCCACGCGACGTTGACGGGTTGGATATTTTAAGACCAGGTGAAATGTACTGACGTCATTTTGTGATCTCAATCCCGTTTTGAATCATCTTTTGATACGTTCGTGGATTTGTTTAATGCGAATTTTATGTAAAATTCGTATCGATGACTACTCTAAGTGTTTGAAATGTTTTGTTATTGATTTTCATAAATTTGACATTTGAATTATCTTAATAAATTAAAACATTTGTTATCTGCTTTTT